TTGGGTATTAGGAAAAAGGTCTTCCTGGAAAGGGTTGTCAGTCATTGGAATGGTCTGCCCAGGGAGGTGGGGGAGTCACCATCCCTGGAGGGATTTAGGAGATGTGTGGATGAGGTGCTTAGGGACATGGTTAATGGTGGACTTGGTAGTCCTGGGTTAACGGTTGGACTTGATGATCTCAAAGGTCTTTTCCAACCTAAATGATTCTATGATTCTATGTTCCCCTTCCTCTGATGGATAGCTGCGTCCACCCTAGTGAGCCTGCAAGAACCCAGATTGCTCTTTGACCATTGCAAGCCAGAAGCTGGGCTAGCAGCTCAGAGAAGACCTCTTTCACACCATTTTCCAGAGGTCAGGTCCATGCCTCCAAGGCTTAGCCCAAACCCTCTGCTATTTCCTATCACCATGCCCATTAGAGAGGAACCCCAGGTCAGCGTTGTCCGTAAGCCACGGCTTGCACCCGAGCCAGGCACTGCTGCTGCCATCGGCCAAAGGAGCTGCCCCCCTTGCCAGGGCGTTGGGTCCTTTTCCTGCCTCCTCCAGACTGACTGCCATAAGAAGCGTTACTCAGTACAGTGTGTGGTGGTTATCGATTTGGAATTGGGGTTTGGGGATTTTTTTTTTTTCTTCACGCCCAGGTGAATGGTAAAATGATTCCTAATTGCTCCCCTTTGTATGTGGAGGTTGCCCTCCTCCTCCCAGTCTATCCGCTAGACCTAATCAATCAGACCGCCTTAATTGGTGCTTCACTGCAGTCACCCACCCCCTAAAACAGCACGAGGAGGAAAATGCAAGGTTACACGTTGCTTTGCCCTCACCCTGCCACCCGCTGCACTTCGTGCGTGCACAGGGAGAGTGGGTCCTGCCGGGGTCCCTGTGCCTCTCCCCACTGCATCCACCTCCGGCTGGAAAGGGAGATCGTGGCATCGGCCTCACGGCGCCAGGAGTGAGAACGGTTGTCAAATCCAGCCAGCTTGCCCCAGCGCTTGGGGATGATCAGGGATCTCCGTACGATCAATCGCTTCCCATCTCGATTATTTTTTTATAAAGACACACGTTTGAAATCTCTCGTTCTTCCATCGGAGTTATGGAAATGCACAATGTGCTTTTAACATGCGCATCCTCTACCGAGTGCAATAACCTCCCCTGGCCCGTGGCTGTCCCGGACTTTGGCCGTTGCTGTCAGCAAGGCAGAGAGGATCCTGCTGTGGGGACAGCCTCCTGCTTTCAAGAACCATGTAGCAAATACACAGTGGAAGAGCCAATTCGGATTTCAGTCCGTGGTGGGCAAAGCCTGTTATAACACTCAAGGCCGACAGGGAGCCGTGTTTTTCTTTTCCCCGTGGATTATCTATTATGAAACTCTGAGTTTCTTCGAGCTCCCCGTTATGCCTATATCATTCCTCCATAAATCTCAGTCTAATACAGAGGAAAATTTTTTTATTGTCTGTATATAGTATATATAAATAAAAAAATATATAAATTATATATATACACAAATTTATGTCTTGTTTTACAAACAAGAAAGATTAAATATATTAATCTTAATATCCAAACTAGCATTTGTGTCTTTTTTTTAAGATCTTTGTGGACGTGTGGCTATTCTTAGTTCTACGAAACACTTTGTAAGCAAATCCCTCTATTTTTGTTGCTATAGAAATGCGCGTATCTCCATCCTGGAAGAGCACAGGTTAAGGACTCCACATCGCTGGACTGCACAGCAGCTAAGTACCAGGCTATGAAGGAAGCCATGAAGCAGCAAAAATGCAGGTTTGAGATGAACTGTGTGACTCGGCACGGTTTTGTGTTATTAATGGGTGTTTTGGCTTAATTCCCTGCCAGAGGTGGGGGGGAACACCTCCAGCGGCACTCACCCCTTCGCTTCTGGTGCTGGGCACTGTGGCCATGCTGGGGAAAGTGTGATCCTCCTGGTACTAGCAGGACACCCCCCTGCCCCTAAAGCAGGGGAGAGCAGGACATGCTTTAACATCTCTCTGTTATCAAATTCCTGCCTGTTCCCTTTTGGATGAGCCAGGCTGAGCACCCACTGACCAGCTCCAGGGCTTGTTTTCAGCCAAGTCGCAGGCTCTGCCTGGCATTTGCTCTTCTGCCTGGGAAGAGGTGATGGCGTGTAACCTGCCCTCAGTGGCCTGATGGTTGTGCTGCCCTGCGGGACTGCTTTGGTGTGTCTGCAGGGGAAAGGCCAGAAAAAGCGTTATGTCAGACCTGGGGAGAAATCTGAGCAAGGTTGTTGAGGTTTAGGCCCAGCCAGCAACTAAGCACCACACAGCTGCTCGCTCACTCCTCCTCCTGGTGGGATGGGAAGGAGAAAATATAACAATAATTATCATAAAATTATAAAAATAAACCCAATACAAAGGCAAACAATTTCCTATCTACAGATGATGCTTCCAATATCCCATTCCCACTGGGGACACGTTTTGCCTGGCATAGTGAACTGCTCCCTATTTATCAGGGAGGAAGGCATTGATGTGTGCCCCTTATATACCTGAATGTCTGCAAAAACTAAAAAAGCCAAGTCTGATAAATATCCAACACAAAAAAAAAAAAAAAAAGAAGCCTTAGGAACTGGGTCATTCTCTGTACGGGGGTTGAATGTGTTGTCTAAACCAGCAGTCGAGACACACACACACGTTCTCTGTGCCTCCAGGCTCGTTATTTTAATCTGCATCACACCATTCCCCAGGCTGAACTAACTAATGATGACACTGAATGGGACAAAATCCACCTACTTATAAAGCTGGGTATGGATCCAAAAAAAGCCAAGAGGTCTTCTAGCAACCCCCAGAGCCTGAAAATATTGTTGGCAGCAGGCAGTTGAATCAGCAATTTGGGAGTCAATGCTTAGTACCATCTAGTGGGCAACCAGCACCCTGTCAGAAAGGAATTATCTCTTCACCACACACTGTTATTATTTGTACAGCAGCGGCGGTAGGTACCCCAGGAGGAGTCAAATGTCCCTGTGTGAAGGGAGGAGCTGTACTGGTATGTGCCCCAGAAGGATGAGGAAGCCCTGCCTTTATTATTGCTGTACCCGTCTTTTAGGTGCTGTGCCTCACTCTGTTGTGCACTTGTAAATACTCTTGAAGGAAATGATCCAGGTAAAATGTTCTAGATAATGGTTTTGAATCACAAATTTTTAAAAAATCTGCATCTCAGTTACACAGCGCAGAGAATGAAAAGGAATT